TCATGCAAGTTTTTATTTTAGCGGACAGATAATGTCTTCACCAATAGATGAAATGACTTATAGGGAGTTTTTGATATATTATGAATTTTTGTGAACTGACTTGCAATATGATGACTGTGGAATTCCATATTGTAGAAAGAGAGTTACTACAATATGGAATTACACGAGTGCGAGTTAACTCTTTTGAGTTTACGAAGGCTACCAATATTATTCAATGAATTTATAATTCTAAACGTGCGCATTTAGCCAGTCTCTGTTTTCAGTAGATAAACATAAAAGGCACAGCTCGTTATTTTGAAATAAAAGATTTCATAATAGTCGCTCCAGGTATGGGTATCTTTTATCCGATTGAACGGATACGCTAATTTCATGGTGTGCTATCCATTTTTGGCGCCAATCGTGAATCATTAAACTGCCGTGGTTTCTGATTTCGTTTTATGGTAACTTTCAGGCTATCGTTGATACGGAGCTTATATTACTTATATGTAAATCTTCATGAGTACGACTAAATTATTAATTTTGAATAAATATTTTATTTTCATAGTATTCTACTTGTAAGGACAGATAACTAGGGTTTTTGAAGATCACTATTTCATGAGTGACCTTATTGAACTTATTAGGCAGCAAAGGTATTCACAGCTGTGATGTGTTAAATTAACTGCAAAATTTTCAATTAGTAATATAATACAGAGGTATTCTATGCGTTAGTTAGAACCCTTGAAGTGCCAAAGAGCCGAAAAGGAGGAAATGGCTAAAACCGGGTCTTCTGCCCTACTTATTACAGACATATAATTGATCTGGAAATATCTTTTAGTTAGTTTAAATTATAATCCAATAAGTTTTTCAGGTGACGTAAGAGTAAAGTGCAACCAGTTGAAAGTTATTAATGTGCAATTTATTCGTGACATTTGTGTTCACGGTGCGTTGGCAAAATAAATTGTTCGATAAAGCGAGTGTGCCGAGTAGCGAGCGTGACTCTGTAGTCCATCTGTCCAACATCAGTTACGCCTTTCAAGCTCACCTCTTACTTAACATTACGCGCTAATCTCACATTAAAACCTTTGTAGATAGCTACAGATTGTTTATTTTCGCATGTAACAAAACCCTCAGCGCAGTCATCGCAAATAATAAAGCGTCATTACATCTTCTATATAGAGATAATTCACTGAATCGTATGTTTCGTGATCTGTGCTGCATAATAATCTCGAATCGTAATGAATGGTTTAAAACTTCGTTATTTCTCAAGGATTTATACGTAATATGGTATATACTCTAAAGACTGAATCTCCAAATATAAAGGAAAACGGAAAAGTATTTGTACTTTAGCTATTATTTAATTCAAGTAAAGGGTTATTCTTTAAAAATTAATACATAATGTACACAAAATTGTAGAAAAGAATTTTGTTTTTAATGCTAATAAATTTTAATAATAAATTGGTTAATAATTATTCTTCGACTTAATTACTTATACTGTGTTCTGTATGTGGGATATAAAATTTTATGAGCTCTTAAGGATTACTTTGTTGAGAGAATTTTATGGCATAAAAAACTTTTTAGATTCACTTAATGAATCGGTAAAAGTTGTTATTTATTTTGTGGCTGGCTAACTCTTGTGGAAATGCCTTTATTTTCGCTTTTACTCAGACGCAAGCTACTGGTATTACCGACCCACGATGTAAATACATCTAATATACAGTAGGTAGATGTTTTAAATTAACTTTGCACGAGACGAAGAAATCATTGCGAGCTTTATGCCCTTATTATTATGGTTGTTGTTTTACGATTGCTGATGATTGCAGTGTCCGACGTAGGTAATCCTTTTGGCTGTAATTGTGAGATTACTTTTGTATTCTTTTTTATAACGTACGATTTAAAAGTGTAGTAACAAAAAATACAATTCGCTACAAATAATTTCGAGGCAGGTTCCTCAATCGATTACATCCCACTTTTCTATATGCGGTAATTGTTGTATATTCGTTCGTTCTAAAAGTCATTACTATAATGATTTTGCAATGCATAAACAATATAAAGTGGGGTTTATCTAGAAAATTAGCCTTGAAATATTCTAAGAGTGAATGGAGATTTTTTGCTTAGTCTCGAAAAAAGAATTCGAGTAAAGTTAAAAGTTAGGAGAAGCTAGCGAAAATTAGGAATTCAAGGTAATAATGTTCTAAACCATAGGTAGTCACTACAATATTATTTATTTTATTTATTTAGGAAACAAACAGTCGTTTACAATTGATATACAAATAAAACTTAGGTAACTAATAGACCTGACAGTTCCATTACTAAATACGAGTACTAACAAAATTAATTTAATTGCTTACTATTAACAATGGTGATGATATCGAATAAACTTAACCTACACATCAAACAAACAGCTTCTCCACAACAATCTCAAAAACTCACTCTGATTAGTCATTTTTAAATATGATATCTCCCACTTTTCGTTTATATTGAATTAATAATAGCGAAAAAATGTCAACGTCATTTAAATTATCATTGTAAAATCTACAGGAGCGTCTTATAAAAGTGTTCCCAGCGTAATTTGTGGCAGTGGGTGAACAATGAAAAATGTTTTTAGAACGTAAGGAGACTCTAGGGATTCTAAAATTTATTAATTTTAATAATGAAGATGAGTCCACATTATTGTTTATTATTTTGTAAAGGAAAACTGCATCCAGATAAACACGTCTGTTTTGTAACGAATCAATATTATACCTTTTAGATGCAGATTCATATTAGTCAACAAAGAAATGTCCTGTTCGACAATCTAAAGATTTCAAAAATTTATTTTGTATTTTTTCTATTCGGGCAATGTGAATAGCATATTGGGTTTTGTTCCAAACGACGCATGCATATTCTAAATGAGATAGAACGAAGGAATAATACAATATTTTATAGGTAAATATTTCCTTAAACGGCCTCGTGTATCGAAGTATCATGCCAAGTTGCTTATATGCTCTAGATGGTAATAAAAAAAAGGCACTTATCAATCATCAATAACATTGTCGCGTTTTAGTGATGTATTCGTTACACTATATTAGATTTTGAATTGAGTTTTTAAGTTATTTTAAGAGCACGTGTTGTTTGGTAATACTTCCTCGTTGTACTACTAACTACTTATGCTATTTGCTTTATTGTGGTTTTGTTATTTGTATACAGCTTGACGCTGCGTGACTCAGGAGTCCTCACGCACCGCCTAACGTACGGTAATCTTTGTTATGATCATTAATAACACGGCATTGTGACGTGATAAAAAACAGTAAGAATGACAATAGTTCACTGGAATTTCTGAATTTCAACTTTATTTGTACCTTATTTTAGTACTTTTTAACATAAGTACCAAACAATCTTCGCAGTACTTAAATAAGTCGTAACTAACATAATGTTACGACTAAGGGTTCGGGATAAAAACGCTAATTAAGTTACTTTAGATCACAAAAATAACTCTAACAACAAAATATACACTTTAACTTCACTATTTCACTTCACAACACTAGCAGATCGTTTACCGAACTAGTTATAATTCCGATCGCTCTTGCTTTCAGCCCTTTCGGAAGGCGCAGGAACGATCACGTTGGAGATCTTTGGGGGAGGCCTATGCCCAGCAGTGGGCGTCTCTCGGCTGATATGATGATGATGATGTGTCCGAATTCACGTCATCAAGTGAAAAATTCTATCGATTCCATTTTTTGTATAATAATACAAAACAAAATTGATTGAATATATGTCTCAGATATTCTATTACGTCATTTCGAAACTCACTTCACTTGTGCCACGAAACGTTATTACCAATTCAAGAATGAGTGGACGCCGTTTTTTGAAGTGAATTCGTATACCTTAGTGAATTCGAAATTGGGTTTGGATTTTTACACAATCACAGGGCAGAGATGCTTGTTCACTGAAGAATGCCGGGATGTGTAGCTCACCGCGTATTACAGGGGCCGATACTTCATCTAGAATGTTCAAGGTTAGGACTTACAACATTTTAGGTTGGTCTCGGCCCTACCGGTGTATCCGAGGCATATTACCAGAGTTCTAGAACAGATACTTATAACAGATTTAGATTTCTATTTGTAAAATTTGTAATCTTCGATTTATAGAGTCAGAAACTGACAAAATCTTACTATCGGCTTAATGGCTCTTCTAAAGAGATGCCGACGGGCGTATTATTTCTAATTTATGCGTGGACTTGCGGAGATTGTGCACAGCTGATTATTTATTACCTACTTAAGATTAAAGGACTGAGAGACATAATGGCAATGGCAAATATCAAATAAGATTATATGTAATTCCTCTTTTTGATCTCCTTGTTGATGATTATTTGGAAGATGATGATGAAATCAACAGGACAATCTATGAGACAAGTAGAGGCAGACAACGAGAATGGAGTGACGAAAATTATTTTAGTAATTTTTCACCTTCGTCCTGTGTTTCTAAAAGAGTGATAAAGCATTCTTGAAAAACTATAGGCCAATCTCGCTTTTGAGCCATGTTTATAAGTTGTTCTCTAGGGTCAGTCTTACTCGCAAGCTCGATGAATTCCAACCTTCCAAAGAAGCTGGATTTCGAAAAGGCTATAGTACCGTGGACCATATTCATACGCTGTGGCAAGTTATACAGAAGTCCGAAGAGTATAATCGGCGACTATGCTTGGCGTTCGTGGACTACGAGAAAGCCTTTGATTCAGTCGAGACATGGGTGGTGATGCAGTCTCTCCAAAGATGCCAAGTGGACCACAAGACATCGAGGTACTAAAGTGTCTGTATTAGAATGCTATTATGTCAGTCTGATTACAAAACCAGAACTCTAAGCCTATTCGATTGCTGCGAGGCGTAAGGCAGGGAGACGTTATCTCTCCAAAGTTATTCACTGCTTTGGAGGATATTTTCAAGCTTCTGGATTGGTAAGGATACGGTATAAATAATAATGACGAGTATCTCACATACATATGCTTTGCCTATGATGTAGCCCTAATGGCTAAGCCTTGAAACACTTGAAACCATGCTTGAAGATCTCAGTAGTGCATCCCAAAGAGCATTTCAAGACCAAAGTCTTCGATCAGCGTGTGTTGCCAGTGATGATTTGCGGAAGCGAAGCAAAACGTGGTCGTTCACTATGGGTCTCATAAGAAGGCTCAAGGTCAACGGAGATTGTTCTCTCCGGTATTTCTCGGAACACATAGTGAGAAGAACTGATGGCCGTTAGAGCGGAAGTGTTTTCAAATGGCGATCACATATCGGACGACACTCAGTGGGTAGGCCACTACCACCAGGTGAACCGACGATCTTATAAAGGTTGCGGGAAACCACTGGATGCGGGCAGTACAGGACCGATCGTCGTAGAGATCTATGGGGGAAGCCTATGCTCAGCAGTGGGCGTTTTACTGATGATAAAATTTACGAATATAGGTGATTTTCATTTTTTTTTATTAAAAATCGGTATCGGACTACTTCGTCAAATGTTATGTGATATAAAAAAAAAATATACTAGTTTTATTTTATATATACTCGTATACTAGCTTTAGCTCGCGACTAGCTTTTGTTTTTGATTATATAGTGTAAAATACCAGAAATACAGTTTCATGATTTTATTTTTGACAATGACGAACTTCTGTACAATCTATTTATCACAATAATAACAACTTATGTCGTATCTCAAGTAAACTCTGTTTAGTGGGTTAGGCGTGAGAGCGTAACTGACATATATTTGCGATACTTTGGCATGTATAATATTAATATGGAATAATTAAACGATTCTTCTTGTGGCTCATTACATTATCATACATTATATTATAATAATAGGTTACCAGTCAGTTAACAAAATAAATAGACTAAGAATAATATAAATCACGACTGCGTGGTCGACTTTTAATCTAACAGCTGTTAAAATGGAATTTAAAAGTTTAAACTGTTAATATATAATGGATATGTCGTAGCCAACTGGGTAAAAGATCCATCCAATCCGGCGGCTAGCCCTATAATAGAATGACGAATATGTATTTATTTATTTAAGGTACATCATCAGCAATACATGTAATTAACCGACTAATGTCTAGTATGTTACAGTATATTATCTCTGAAAACTTTAAAGTTATTTAACCAATTTTAAATACAGATAGAAAGAAAACACAAATCTATTGTCCACACAAAACTTAATCATTAAGAATAAACGCCATCTATTATCACCATCATAAACCCTTTTAAGTTTCTACTGCAGGGGCTCAGGCCTTCCTTATGAATTTGTTAAAAAGGTTGGGCCATGACGCTCCGCGCTGGTTCAACGTGGATTTGATGGCACTAATGATTGCAAATGCAGCCAGAACAACGGCATAACGTGTCTTTCAAATCATGGAGTACCTTGAAATACAAAAAAAACTTGCCGGTTCTTCTCGGTACAAGGTCTCCCGCTGTAGATTTACGAACCGATGGCGTAGCTCTCGACTTTCACAAGTGCTTGTAACAGCGTAGACTGAATAAAAAATTATGATTTTGATCACTCGTCCCGTGACCGACCATTGCTAAAGTTGCTTAACAACAACGATTGCGGAACGCGGCGCTTATTCACTACGTCATCGAGCTGCTCATCAGTATAGCAAAGCATAAAGTTCTTATTAAATTTTATTTGAAAACTCAAACTTGATGACGTAGAAGTAAATTTAACGCCAACTAGTATCGCTGAAAAACCATAGTTTATGATTTGTACTTGAATATTTTCAAAAATATTTATTTATAATGTTATTTTTATTATCAATTATGTACTCAAATATCAATTTTGCATAATACCAATTTTTATCAATATAGGTCCAAAAATAAAGAAGTTCCATACAAACGTTCACCTTTTTTGACCCCCTTCCGGATGGAATTTCCAAAAATTCCTCTTCAGTACACCGCTACATAATAAGAGAAATGTATCCTCTAAATTTTAAGTCTCTACGACCAGCGGTTTAGGCTGTGCGTTGTCTGTCAGTCAGTAAGTCAGGAGGACATCTCCTTTTATATATGTATTGATTGTATGTTACATGGTAGCAAGCTCGTGAATAATAAATAAACTAAATGTTAGTGAACATGGGAGTTTATAACAGTATAGTATTTAATTATGCTTTTAAAATATTTGAATGTTTTTCTCACTAACATAGACTCCGTACGTTCTTCGGCTGTGTGAGATTTATAATACGCCGTTCAATTACCTACCTACTTGTAAAGGTGTGTTTATGTACATGATAAGTAAGCAACTATAACAGGGTTGTCTAAAACGTTATGAACTTTTAATTTGCCACGTTGTTAGTGGAATACTTAAATCTTGAAATCTAAAGAACCACTTTGACGTCCTCTGTAGCCGAGTGATTCGCACGCGGTTTTGTCGCCGCTATCTCTGAGGTTCCGGGTTCGATTCCCGGTCGGATCTATGTAGAAAATGAACTTTCTTATATTATCTCGGGTCTAGGTGTTTTGTAACTTCGTTGTCTCAGATACTCCATAATACGGGGACTTTAGCAACTCATCTTGGAAACTGAGGTATGTATGTGATGATGTTATATATTTATTTATTTTTTATATTTACTTTTCCTATTAAAATATGAGTATTTTTTTCTTGTTACACTAGATCTTGTGATAACAGACATTCATTCGTATATGAATTATAAAATCTTAATCAGCATCAAATAAAAAAAATAAACAAAAGTAACGCTGGTTTTCATGACAATGTTGAAAATACTTAATTTTCAATATAAATGAATAATTTTATAAAAACATTGGTATTTTATATATGTATTTATTTACGAAAAGTTAAAAGACTTAAATATTCTTAGATAAATAAAAATGAATCGCTAAACGTGTTGTGATGAAACAACAACTGAATCGATTTAACTGATTTTTAATTATTGTGCTTGGTAAGTCTGACAAAGAGTTTATACAGAAAGAAAAATGTAAAAAATAATATGGTAAACAGTTAAAACAAGAATTTTCTTTACCACTACCAATAAACTCAGTCCCCCAGCTGTTAATCATTTGACGTCACAGTCTTCAAAAGCAGAACTATCACTGTCGCTGTTGCAATTAACATAAAAAATTCAATGTTAATTTGTTTTAGAGAAATAGGGTAGAACAATATCCGCCCGAACAGCAGGCAGGTTATATTTTTACGTGACCTACAAATTGGCTACATTCGGCTTTGTAAATCCTCCATTAGCTAGTGAGATTGCAGCTTGTGGTTGTTGAAGGCTAGATTGTATGAAATTTGGGTACAGTGTGTGGTAGCCCTAGAGGAGCGGCAGTATCATCCCACGAGCGGCGCGGGCGCGCGACCGCAGCGACCTCGCACGCGCACGCCCGCCCGCCGCCGCGCGTCCGTGTACACACGCTGGTGGTGTCGATCTCACTTAGGTTCTACTTATTTTTAATATTTGCATTAAATTATAGGTTGAGAAATAAAAATATATAAATATATATATTTTATGTTTATCAAGAATAATATAAATAATATAATAACATAAATAGACTTAATTGTTGTTAATTTAACCGGTCTTCCCGCGAATTCGCTTACGTAAATTATAGCCTTCAACACCTGAGTCTAACGTAGGTTTCCGTATGTGAAAAAATTTTCATGATCTGATTAGTATTTCCCTACAAACAAACAAAGTTAGAAAGTACTCTTTTGTACTATTAGTAGGTAGGTACATACTTATATATCGAATTTATTATCTTTTGCATCTGTATAACGATGACAGTGGAAAATTGTATCTCTTTGATCTAAGGGATCTATGTTTATCTGCAAATGAAAGAAAAACAGACTGTGTCAGCCTGCTTGCCATTCCGCCCTAGTAAAGTTAGACTGGGTTATAACCGTTTATTGCTCATCAGTTCAATGATGACAATGATGAGTAACTCATCTAGAGATCGGTGCCCAGTTTCATTTACCATCATGCTACTGGATTTTAACATCAACTTAGTTCCTTCGAATAAAACAAGTAAAAAAAGGGAAGTAAAATACTTAAAAAATCCGTCAGCCACAGGTACCCCGAGATGGGACTCAACCCCACGACCTTTGCAATCACCCGAATTGCAAAGGTCGTGGGGTTGAGCAAAGCATTTTTTCAATAAAAATGCTTTTCCAATATCCGCGCACTGAGTGATGTTATACTCTTTAAGTATATGTACTTCAATATACTGAAATATCAAGTTTTAGAAAGCTCTTGCACATTACGATCTTAAGACTAATATTATCACGTATTTCTACAATGAGAATGAGTAGTGTGTGTAGTCGCGTGTTTAGGCGCGGGCGGCGCGTGGCTGGGAACCGTCGGCGCGCGCGCGTTCTCACGGCCTCGATGACCTGCGGCCTCACGTTCCCTTCCCCTCCTCCGAGCGTCGCACCCCCCCGCCTGCACACCAGACAGACTACCTCGCGCAACTCTCTTCCACGCCCACCAGTTAAGGTTAGAAAGACACACATTTATGAGTCGTGTTGTGTTGTGTCGCGGTAGAAGCACATCACTTTGATACGTTTATTATGGCACCTAGTTGCACAAATGTTCATTAAGTATTAATAACTAATGACAATGTTAATGGACAATTGTGCTCAAGGCAGTAAGCGTTAGAGGCACATTTGCATTTTGTGATGAGTGGTCTGTGATAGAAATATATCCGTTCTATTAAAGTGTTCTATCCGTTCTAATTTTAAACAACATGCGACAGCAACTACAATATCAAATAACATTCATACACTCCAAACTTGAATTTTAGGAGTTGAAATAGGGGATGAATATGAAGTTAGTTATCAGCATCATCATTAAGTAGCAGGCGATACTATAAAAAATATTGAAACCATTTTTATTTAACTGATATACGTAATAAATCTAATTTGTAATATATATGAACTAATAAATGAAAACTAAATGTTTGACTTTTATAGTCTGCCTACGTGGACTCTACGTTACATATGGTCAGTTGCACAAACGTGCATTAAGGTTTAGTGAAACCTTTAAATTCTAATGAATGTCAAATTTGTATGGGTAATGACGCTTTATACTAATGTTATTGGACTATTAATTTTAATAGTCTAATAATACTATAATATAATTCATTCATTTGTGTAATGTAGAGACGAAAAAATTTAATTCAAATTAACAAATTTATTTTTTAATTGAATTGTACCAAACCTTTTGCCAATAACCACACTTAAAGATAAAAGTTCAATCCAGAATAGCTATTTGCAGTATGAATACTTAAATAGTATTAAATGGTGGATAGTATTAAATATTGTAATCACCATTAATTATTCCAAACCCTACTATCAGTTTATTTAAACTTTTTAATTCAATATCATCTAGTGATTGTCTGCACAAATAAGTAAAAAGGTTCTTAGCCCACAGACATATAGAAAGTCTCCTTTGCTCTTTTAATGTAAAGAACACTAGAAGACATTCTTTTATAGCCATTAATAAAAAGCACATTAGTATATTTAAATGTATCTACGGTTTCTACGAAGGACATCATGTCATACATTATATAGCTCATAAAAATAAAAACTCGGGTACATTTTAAAGAATGCATAATGTTTTCAAATGT